CAGGCCTGACCTGACTGACCTCCCTGCACACACACACACACACACACACACATACACCACTGACACCACTGGAACAGAGCAGCATGGAGCACGACAAAGACATAACACTTAAATTAACATGTTCACATGCACTCTCACATACACACATTCAGACTTGCAAAAACATCCAATCTTAGCTTTAGAATAACACTCAGCATCTCATAAATAAAACTACTGACAACCGTGGTATAAAACAGCGGTGTTGTGCAAGAATATATTTGGTGGTCAGGGAGATCTGATAGCTGAGTGGTAAAGTGCATACCATCCCACATGAAGTCAGAGGTTCAAATGCTGGCTGGCTGCTCCGTCTGCCTCATGTTTACACTTCCTTTCGCTGTAAGTGTCTGATCAAGTCTTAAAATGCCTAAAATAAGCTTTTAGGCAATATTGCTTGAACTGAGTGAGTCCTTTTCATTTTGTGAAACTATATGACAGGCAAAATCTTAACTAGAAGAACAAACCCGCTCATTGACAAACAGGTTGGAGCGTCTCTCGATGACAGCTAGAAAACAAATGCTGCAGGTGCTTTGAAAACAGTGCATAGCACCAGAGGGCAGGCAGATGAGCCTCATCCCAGTGGAAGATGTGTCTCTCTTTTTGTGTAAACGTGCACTTGTGTGTGTGTCAGGGTGTTACAGCGGAGCATGTGACTACAAAAGTGAAACACCTTAGGCTAAGTGCTGTTCCTGCCACTCACACTCCCCACTAACCTTTCGAACACACACCATCCAGCCTTATAGGTGTCATCTCACATTTCGGGGTGACTCAGGGGTGAAGCTTGATGACATTAAGAGATGACTCATATACCAGTTTTTACTATATAGACACTCCTGATCACTTTTAGTGTCATTTTAGTACTTTTTGGCTAATTTGGGCTCTATTTACACTGCCGCTGTTCATACTTTTGCTATACATCGGTCACTTTTGAACAAAATTGTCTCTAGGGCTTGATTTTATAGCTGTAACTCTTGTTTTGCCAAGAAGTGAAAAGTTAAAACCACAAGCCTCAGTCCACAAGGGATGATAATTTTGACTAGTGTGAGCTTGTTGCGAGAAATATATTTCCAGATATAATTCACTGAAAGTTCACACAGGAGGATTGGAAGCGAACCACCTGACATCACAGCTTATTGAAGTTTCACAGCCAAACTCTGCCAGAAGATCCACTGAAGTCACTCAACCAGGTGATCACGTTTGGCAGCATCTCAGATGTAGAGAGCTGGGCATTTGGCGAGCAGAAACCCCTTTTGGCTTTGAGTTTCTCTTAAGCTTGCAGGAATTTGCAGGCGAGCAGTCCTCCATGCTCACCAAGTGTGACTTGATCAAAAGTGAAATGATTAAGTCACATAATCTTACACCTTCATCAAAAAGAACTAGGTTGAAATACTTTATATATCTAAAGATACGTTAAGATTTTCCCTGCTTTTTCCTCTTGGTTCAGTCTGCAGCCACTGCTAAATACACAAATGCAAAGCACCTCATATGCTGTCAATCGACAATAAATGATTCACAACACATGAAGATATAAATGTACAATTCCACCATATATAAATTTTTATGTTAGAGAAACATCATATGTCCTTGTCAGATTATGAATCTTTTAGCCAGCGCACAAAACACACAAAAATAACTTTTATAAGTCTAAATTTAAAGGAAAAAGTTGGAGAGCTAAGACTGACCGTGCTGAATAGTACCTCTGTCTCCATTTAAGTGTTATCTCACAGAATCAAAGTCCAGCACAGCAGTAATACTCTGCTCATTTCATCCCTTTTTATCCTGTCACATTACAAACTCGCCCCGTGAGTATTTGATGGGCAGCTCTGCCTTTTCACTCTCTGTGAAAACTAAACTCTGGATCCGAGCAGCAGATCTCAGTCTAAATACAGAAATGAAAAAAATCATAACAGGACACGCTGGAATCCAGGAACCATTTATATGAGGTAATTTGACCGCATACAACAAACCTACCAAACAATGCTCTCAGAGTTACAGTGAGGCAACTGTATTAAAAAGCCACCACAATCATGTTATTTGGCCTGTGGCTGAACACAAACATGTTTTCTTTTCTTTTTTCCCCGTCCCCAGTATAACTGTGGTCATACTTTCCCTACACAATAAACCAAATTAGTGGCAGGAAAATCTGATCATGAGCGCTCATGTTTTTGCGCAGTTGGAGTTGTGAATAGAGTTGTGTAGTTATTGGACACAATCTGGACAGTTTGTATCTGTCAGGTGCACCTTTTTATCTGAAGTGTAAATGTATATGTTTATACCCTCTGCATGCCTCGTCTTGTAACCATAAATCAAAAGAGACATGCTCAAATAGTCAAATAGCGGAGCTATATTAAGGACTTTTTACATTTTGTGTACTTAGAATAAACTCACATTTATTTAAATGACACAAAAAACCCCTCTAACTTAGCCATTAACTATTCTGACTGGTCAAGTTTGTTGCCAGACACGGAGAAAGAATAAAACAACCACCGAAAAGTCATTCCTGCACGAGGGAAAACCCGAGCTCACGGATAAAAATTAAAAAAGGAACAAACAGTGTTGCTAAGTTGATTTTCTGCAATCCAGGTTTTCACTGTAGTGTGCTGATGAACACAAAGAAACATACACACAGCAACACAAACCAGAATGGAGCCACGGCTCTCTGTTCACCTTTTATTATTGAACTCGTTACAGTCCTCTTGGCCCTGCTTTAATTAAACCCTATTAGCTAGTCAAGGTTCACTGTACACTAATAATGTTACTCTGATACAATTTGGCCTCTGCTTTTAGCTTTAGGAGTGTGTAGCTACCTTAATCAAAATTGTCAGTTAAAATGAAACTACAGCTCAAGTAATTAAATTTAATTGGATCTTGTCACTTTTTATGCTGGCGGTGTTTTGATCCTTGTTGAGTGTTTGCTGCCCGCGCTTCATACTGAGCTTTATTAGTCTGTGTCCTCGACCTTGCCAGGACCGAATGCGCATAGACCCGGTTGAAGCTGGAAGTGCTTTGAACCTTGAACGCTGCATGAGTGCAAAAGAAACTGCTGTAATTTGGCATTAGATCATTAGTATTTCTAGGTAATATCTGGAATTGCTCCTGCCTGGTCTTGCACCAGGTTTCACTGCAGAGGAGTGGAAAGCAGGTTAGAATAATTCTGTTATCAAGCACCTCAGAAGAAAAACACAGATCAGCTGTTTTATATAACAGAGGTGCTTTTCCTTGTTGAAAATTAGTGGTAAGGAGACGAATGCGTCTGCGCTGGATTTACTCATTATGAATCCAGCTTGTAAAGTTTGTACATAGATTTTCTTGATTGTGCTTGTAATGGAAGATCAATCGCTTTCATGTTTAATTTTTTGTTTTACAGTATATTTTCACAAAACACTTGCCGTTTTCCTCGCGGCAATCAGATGTCTCTTGGAGGAGAAAACAATTCCTGCTGTCATCTCCTTACATTGCACCTAAAGTAGAGATAGCCTACAGCCTACAGAAAGCCAAAGGTGGAATAGCTTTCCTGGAACGCCGGGTTCGTGGCCAGATTTTTGTGTTGCCAGAGGAATGAAACGTCTAAATGGGGTGGTCAGGATGGGCTTGGCAGTGCTGGAGTGACCTCTCAACCTCCAGACTTAGGAGAATATGGGAGGAATTGAACGCGCGGGCGTTCTACCTAAGGCAGGAGCGGCAAATCTTTATTCACTGAGAGCTGCTTGCTGCTAAAGCACATTCTCTTTCAATCCATTAGAGCGCACCGTCCCCTTCCCCTTCATCACACAGTGCAGCCCTTAATTTGACAATGACAAAGAGCCACTTGCAGATTTTAAATTTCATAATTTTAATCTGTCAAGTCTGACATTTAATTAGTGGCTTCCTAACCTGTGTCTGCCTCGCTCTCTGAAGGGCACCGTTTGTTCTGAGAGCGCTGCGCAATCTCTCAGCAAAGGAGAAGAGAGAGTGGATTAATATATATGTACATTACCAGCTGCTGCAAAGACAATACAGAGAGGGAGGCCATTAGGGCCTAATACAGACAGATGAGGTTAATAATATTTGGGAAGTGTTGCTCTATTAAGCAGAGCACTGATTAAGACCTGAGTGGGATCCCCCCCTTCACGAGGCACTGATTGGGAGCCAGGCTGTCTTTTGTTCTCCTGCTCCCAGAAAGAGGAGAGAGGGAAAGGGTTGCAGAGGAAGAAAGGACAGGAACAATGTTGGCTGACTTTGTGTTCCTCCTGACAATGAGGACGGGTGTAATGAGAATCTTTACAGTCCTGGATGAAGGTTTATAGAAGTCCAACGCCCACTGATAACTTCATTACAACTACTGAGCAAACAGATGGAGCCAGCTTTGGGAATCTTTCTGGTTTGAGGGAAGAGCTCCATGATTGCTTTCAGTCTGCACTTGATTTCTTTTCTTAGTCACCGCTACATAATGTTGCCAGACTGACCTCATTAATTTATTCCCCTCATTATGTAGCTTGAAGTGTGGAGATTTGGCCCCTGGTTGAAGTTTGAAATTCCTTCTCCAAAAAAGAGAGAGAAAGAAGCAGGTTCTGTGTAACACTATTTCACACAGACAGCTCTGCTGGAGCCACTATTGATTTTCAAATCAATAGAAAGTGAAGGGAGATGGGGTGGAAATGGCTTGGAATTGGGCTAGCAGGGAAAATGTCAGGAGCTCCAGGTGTGGGTATAGCATACTTTTTTTTTTTTTTCTTTTTTTGACGCATGTCAGTGTTTAACTTTTATTATCAGAAGCCTTTTTTTCATGAATTCAATTCTTCGCAGAATTTTTGAAAACTCAACTTATCTTTTGTTTTCTCAGCCATTCATTAAGACAGAAAAAAGAGTAACGTGGCGAAGCTGCCGTTCACCATTAAACTAATAAACGAAGAGGCGGATCAATAAATACTGACTGTGTTTTCAAACTCTTTCTAATTACTCACCACTGCCTATTGTGTTCTTATTGAATTGTCTCTCTGGCAACAGGCCCTTCTGCACCTTCCAACACGCAGCGAGTGCTGTTGAGACAGCAGGAGACAAAGGACGGGGAGGAGGGGGTCCGACTCGGTTGATGCAGTGGTGAGACGGCGAGAGGAGTGAGGACGTCTTCCTGGGGCCCACTAGTGGTTGCTCCTTGCCTCTGCTGCTTCATCTGAGGGGCAGAGCAGATGACAACCATGAGGAGACGAGAAAGATTAAAGATTCAGGGATAGAGAGAGAGAGATAACCTCAGCCTTTTCTCTCTGGACTTGGACGATGCTCACACCACAGGGAGGAGAGATAATAACGAAGACAGACCCACCTGTTTAAGCGCTGTAAATCATGTGTGTGTCTGCGTGAATGAATGCATGTCTGTACTGCTCAGTGTGTAAATCACCGCTTGGTCTAATTGGTGCCTAATAATACTCATTTCCTGTGTAGATGAAGAACAATGTATTGGGGGGCATATGGGGTCCGTCTGGAGCTTCACACACCAGTGGCGTGCAAGACTGGAAGTTTTTGTATGGCTCAGATACCGAGCAAGGACAGGCCCGGTGTTGCTGATACCAATACTTTTTTAACTTATAAAGCAGTCTGCAGTGTGTCTGAACACATTTTAATGACCACCGTGATTCACTGTGATTTTTACTTTCCACAATTAATACTACCAACTATACCAAAAAACACCTTTCAGCTTTTCATGTCTTTTGAAACTGGATTTTTTTGGAAAGTTGGAGTGTAAATGCGCCTGTCTCTCAAGTACTTTGGGTCAACTTTGTTAAATGTGCTTTAAATAAAGTAGACGTAGAAACAAAGTATCGATTATCTGTTGGGCTAATATCAATCTGATACCAGAACCAATGTTGATGCTATCAATATTTGGATCTTTGTACCTCGGTGTACCCTGCAGTTCATGTGCAACTTTGTGTGTGTGCGTGTGCAAAATGAAGTACGTGTGTCTGTTTGTGTTCGACTTGATCACCGCTTTCCCTTGACAGTGCTCATAGAGAGAATTAGAGAGCTGGTGAGATAATCAGATGAATAAAAAGCAGCCGGTAGCTCATTACAAACCCTATTATTCATTAATTAACATTATTAAAACGTCTAATAGACCGCGGCACTCCTCCCAAGCCCCCCTGCCTCTTTTCAACTAGGTCCCTGCTCCGTGGTCCCTCCCGTTTCTCAACATGAAAAGAATAGCACATCAAACGAGGCCTGGTTTCAATGTGTTGGGGATTTGCAGGTGTAGAATCGCACACACACTGCGCAGGGGATCCGCTCGTCGGTCGCGCCGCGCTCCATAGTCTTCCACTTCGGCCTCACTGTGACACACGCCGCTCACCCGTGCCATAACAAACTCCTCATTAGGAGTGGGGAGAGAACTGGGCCGCATGCTCCCTAATTAGGTCCCCCATCTAAAACTTTCAGTCTTCTCTTCATCCCTCATCCTCCCTCCCTCCATGTCCCTGCATCACAGGGAAAAAGACTGCTGACATTTATGGAAGGCTGTTTAATCAGCTGTATATGCAGGGTTATAAAGGAAAGTTTAGGCCTGCGATATGTGCATACAAAGGAAATATATTTCTTTAGCACTCTAAAGAGGTTGAGCTGTGGCAACTGTCAAAACATGTTGCGCCCTATGAAAAGTCTTTAGTTTTATCCAGAACTAAGCTACATTTCTCCCCCCCCTCACCCATTTTTCCTCGTCTCAGTTTGTATTTCATGCATTAAAATACACAAATTCATCCACGAGATGCACAAATGCGGCCGATTAATTTGGTTACATTGCAGAGACCAATATTCAACTCTGAGGATAATATCTATCAAAAGTTTTTAATTGTGTTCAGTGAGAACCAAATATATTAAACATGCATAATATATACATAGATATGTGTGTGTGCAGCAAGATGGGGAGAATTTCTGTCCCCAAAAATGTAATGATTATCATGCATATTCAAATGTCCAAACAATACACCTTAGTTAAACATTAATATCATAATTTAGATACAATCCGTTTAATGTGTCCAGGAAAAGAAGTATTATTCCTCATTTTGTTCTCATTATTTTCAAATAAACAGGACACTATGTGCGGAAAACAGGGAGCGAACAGACAAATGATGAATATGTAGAAACTCTTGGAGATATTAGCGGGCTTTAAACTACATCCTCTGATTACTTTTCTGCTTTTAAATACTTGATGTTCCAGTTGTACTATGACCTTAAACAAGATTTTATTGGAACACAATATCCATAACATTAGGGGAGTCTTTTATCATGCTGAGAGGGACACCGCCTCCTTGTATCCTTAGTGGAGACTTTCCACATTAAATTACATTAATATTTCTATTTGTGGCGCCATATTCACATGTAACGCAATACACCACATGTATATTGTATAACACTAAACACAAATATTTTCTCTTGGGAGATTTGATACTATAATACATTTTTTTTTTAACTGAATTAATTTCTGAAACACGGGCTCAGACGTGCGTATACATATATGGACGTATACACAGCAAGTCAGAGAGAGAGAGAGAAAAGAAATGTTGGTGTTTGTAGGAAAATGATTTCCTTTATCAAAGCAACTTTCAAATTATTGGCCTTATATTAGCATGGCGACCGCTTTCCCGCTCCTAATCTCTTGTGCTTTCTTCTCACTCTCTTCCCCTCGCGCACGCTGAGTGATGCTTCCTGACAAGTAAATCAGAAAAGAGGTGGCATTTCCCCACGCTGCTGAAGAGCCAGCATCCTTCTCTTTCCTCCCTTCCCTCTCCTTCTTCCTCCTCTCCTCTCCTGATTAAATCTGCTGCTCCCTGTAGGATTATTAGGATTCTAATTCAATCTGAATTTCAGGAACTTGTTTGCTTGGTTACCTGTCACAGCGTATCAGCTTGTCATATTAGTGGTGATCGTTGGCTCTACCTAATCTGCTTTAAACAATTTCATTGGGTGCTGGTCTATAAATCATTCCGTAATGGGATTGACATGCGCGGGCTTAGCTAGGTAAACAAATCAGCTTTGTTTTATGTTAGGCAGCAATGAACTTGGCTTTATCAACTTCCCATCGATTCACACACACCACAAGGTCAAAATCTCTCTGGCTGCTCATCGGGGAAGGGGGGGTGGGGGTGGTTAGTAGGGGTCAGCACTTCAGCAATTAGAATATGTATCAAATAGAAGCAGAGGAGCCCATCGCATCCTGCTACCGCTGTTGCCTTTCTCCAAAGTGTTAATTTATTTCTTATCAAAGTAAAGGCATTTCAAAGTAAAGCTTCACAGCATTGGAGGGGAAGTTCTCTTTATGGGGATTTAAAAGAGAAAATAAAATGAGTTTGTAGTTTATTGACGGGAAGTCCCAAAGGCTGCTTAAAAACTCATTAACTTTCAAAACTAATTCAGACGTGTTGATTAACATCTAAGGGTTTGATTTATTTATTTATTTATTCCTTGCAAAAGATGGAGGAATTTTTTTCTACGGCCAGTGTTTTTGCTGACATGCTGTAGTAAAAGTCCTCATTTTGACCCGCTTAGAAAAAGTTGATTCAAATAGAACTTTTCCTAATCATATCACAGTCTCAGCTAGGCTTATTTTGGCAGCACTTTGAAACTATATGCTGTTTCAAATTTCACATAAGTGGGATTTTTCTGTTCCAAAATATCTTAACCTTCGCAAACTACTGTGTCACAAAATCAAACAGCTGATTCTGGTTAAGTATTGAAATGCATAGAAACTGTTGTATTATTATTTTTTAGGCAGCTCAAGAAACATGACAGAGGTAACCAGCGCTGCACATTTAGTATGAGGGACTTTGGCAGGAGCATGCTGTGAAGTCTGCAGGAAATGGGTAGCATGAACCATGTCTTTTGGAGAGCGCCCCAAGTGCTCTGACCAGTACAAAGACAATTACAGATATGAGGCAGAGTTAAGGAATTCTCCAAATGTCCTTAAGAATAAAGGCATATAAATAGAGGGATTTGACTTCTTGTTGCTTCTCTGCTTGTTGCAGACAGAAAGCAAGAGAAAAGGAATGTAGGGGGGAGAACAAATTTCACTGAGCTGACCTGTTCAGCAGCATGTCATGGGATCTTTTCACACCAATACATCTCTCTAATGCAGGCAATTTCCTGCAGCTTTTCACCCTAAGAGGGGGATTTGACCTCTGTGGCTAACGCTTAAAACAAATTCGAATGTTTGCCAATAAGGAGGGATTAAGTCTGCCAGAAAAGGTGGGAGAGAATGGGAATGTCCTCTTTGCCATTAACAAACATGCATTTATGCATGTGTGTTAGACAGAAGCGCATCTATCTAAAAATATATTTTCAGTCAAATACAATACATGCATGTAAAAAAGACGCATTTACCATAAGTCTCCAGTGTCAACACGACTGCTCTTAGAATCAAGGGATCGGGGCAGCTAAGAGGTTGCAGGGCATGTTTTGAATGCACATAAATGGATGATATAGTCTGTCAGGTTAGTGGAAAAGTGGGGGAACTTGGATGAATACACATCTGCCAAAGTGGTTGACAAGTCATCTGGAGTAAACACAGACGTGTCAAAACCCGTGCATTGAAATTTTGGGGAAAAGCCTTTTGTGTTTTGATATTTGTGTGCAACATTTTAGAGAGGGTAAACTTTCACCACTTGAAAACCCTCCAAATCATAGCTGGCACGTTGAGGATAATCTTTCCAATTACCCACGTCTCTGTTTCTGAGTGTCTTAGGCTATTAGCCTTGTGATTCCTCTGCATCCAAAGCTATGTGCCGCTGTTGACAATGAGAGGTAAACAAGAAGGGGGGGCGACTCACCAAATCCTCCAGAGGCCTGGAGGGGAAGCCACACAGCCCAAACTCCTTTCACTGTGAAAAAGCAGCTTCCTTTAAGGTTGTGCTCAGGAGAGACTGACAGCAATTACAGCTTTCTCTTCCCCCCACCCTCCACCCCACCCCAACCTTCTCTAGCTAGGAGAGAACCACATGATGGGAAACCACGAGAAAGGAAAACCTCCCCTCCTCCGCTGTCTTACTTTCTCAGAAAGAGACATTTACCTCCACCTCTCGGTGAGGTGATGATTGTTTACTTTGAGTGATGTGCTATTATGACAGTTCAACAAATCACTGTTACATAGTTTTGTGGCAAATAGTGGAATTTTAGAGTAATCCCATGTAA